TGTTATCAAAAAATAGGGGGAAAAAGATGAGTTTTTCAAATGAATATCGATCGTACATTTATGAGACGACTGTGCATAAAAAAAAATGATCAAGACACGATTACTAATTTATTTTCTAAGTTGTTTTTAATTCGTAATATTTTCACTCAAAACAGTTCAGTATTAAGATCCAACCTTTTTGGTATTTAAAGAGGACAAACTAGTGAAAAAATGTATAGTAAAGTATTAATATTGTTGTCGACGGATGATTATGTCAGCCGATGACCTTTTTCAATGAAATAGGTTCTTATGCGTAAAGCTGAATAAATAAGTTGAAAAATATATTGATCTGCTGCAGGCAGATATAAACTTTTGTTTAACGGGTTTGTGGAGGTTTGAAATTATGATGAAACTTTTACTGTATTAAGATATAGCTTAATCGGATTAAAAATGACCATTGAGAGAAGTCCAAGACTTAGTTTTGTAAACAAAGAATATTATTTTCGGTAACTTCTTCACATCAGGTTCTACATTGATATATATCCATAATAATTAAGGAATTACTGTCATTAACAACATTAAAGTTCTTAAATAACATTGAGTTAATTATATAGATAAAAAACAGGTTTCATAAGCATCTGCAAGTGTTAATATGCATTAATATAACACTAAAATGGACTAATACAGAATGTATAACTTTAAGGATTCCACAGTAAACCATTGTAGCAATAAATGGTTGAATTAAACTTGTTTATTTTGCACGCGTGATTGTTTTAGGCAAATTGCAATAGCCTATACTATTTGGAGTTTTCGGTATCTAGAGGCTTTTGGAAATTGATTCAATAGCCGATGGATGATTGATGCTTTCAGTACGTAGTTTGTAACCTACAAATTATTCCCTGTAACCTCCTTTGACTGGCTTCACGATTGTCCATGGGGTTTCGTTTCCTCCTGACACGATCTCCTCCATATCACCCTGTGACACGCCCTACTCGTCGTTCTTCACTCAGGCTTTACTCGAGGACCTGCCTGCCTGGCGCACAGTGTCACTCTCATCGGTTTCCTCAGCGTATGTTCAGTCCATCACCACTTTCTTGTGCATAGTTGTTGGGTTGGTTCGTTTCCAGAGTTTTCCCTTTTTGCTTAATCCTTTCTGTTCATCTGAATGAAGAAGAGTAGAATAAAAGCAACTGTTTGGCAAGATGTCCTGGACCTAAGTTTTGTGCTCATTCATTGGTGCTTGTCAGTGAAGTGTATGTGCAACTTCAAAAGGACCGATATTATTCTCCTTGGGATTCCCTCCTGTGTTATCATCTAGTACAACTTGCAGAGATGTTATCACTAAACTAAACTATTTGGCTCACAATCGATGTTTTATAGGACTTTGATGGATATATTGGTAAATGATCATGGCTGGTGTTACAGACTGATGCGATAAACTAATGCTTGAATCTTTAATTTTTCTCTCGTAATCAAAAAATCATAATACTTTTGATTGGACACCAGTTATTAACTAGTATAGTGTGTCTAGTCCTTTATTTCGGCTGGTGCAAACCGAATTCTGTCAGTCAAGTTTGCAAGGTGGCTCACCATCACGGTGCACTTTGAATTGTTGATGTTATGTGGTTGGAGGCGATCGGCAGGAATACTTGGACCTAGGTTTCGTGCTAGTTGGCGCTCACTAATCAGTAAGGCGTATCCGTAACCTCGAAGGAACTCATATCCCTTCTGAGCTTCGAATCCTCGTCACACAATTAAAAATACCCAATACGGTCCTACAGGAGGTCAGCCGTCAGTCCGAATAGCTCAGTGGTAACGTCTCTGATTGCAATACTGCGTGATACGAGTTCGAATCTCACAAGGGATATGAGTTCCTACAAGGCTGCAGCTACTCCTTGCTCACTGGTGAGAGTACCAACTAGTACGAAACCTAGCTGGAAGGCTTCCCGCTGATCGCCTCCAACCATCTAATATCAATAAATAATCATAAACTTTTTATGGTATTACCAGGTGCGTATATAATCAGTTAACTAGGTGTCAAAATGATTTCAGTCATTGAGTTATCTCTTTCTATTATTATTGTCATATGAAGGTTTTATAAGGTTGATTTAACTTAACTTCACTATAATTAACTGACACTTTTAAATATAGCTTAAAAGCTGTCTTCTTCATATGCTGTCATTTCAGTAGTTATATTTCACCGGTAAAATGAATATGTTCATGTGAATACAATCACACTGAGTGTGAAACACAAATAATAATGAAGGTGTGTGCGCATTATGGTTTCGGCCTAGATCTTATGATATTATAATTTGTGGGGATCATCTATCATATTACTATAAACAGTTCTGAATAAATGAATATCCTAGAGAATCTTTATATAATGAGAGAGAGAGACTATGAGAAGTAACTAAAAGAGTAGACGATATGAATGTGGGGGAGGGGAGGGGTGAATGATCCAGCTACAAGGTGGCAGATTTGATTTTCATTGCTCTCACTTTTTTTATGTATTTTAATTTATTTAATCAATAACAGATGAACTAATTATTGATATGTTTCTTCTTAATAATAATCCATATTAAAAATCACTTGTTCTCATTAGTTTATTGAGTGATGAATATTAATGTTTTTCAAAAAACACTTTATATATATGTATATGTTTTACTGTGACAGCTCAGTGGTTCTGTGTTGTTTTTTAGAATGCGTTTTTTTGTTTAATTAATATATTACTAATACTACTACCGCTGCTAGTGATGTATTTACGTGTGTGTGTGTAGTTTGTAGCTGAATTGATTCTCTTGTAAAACTGATAGTTTCTTAATCAACCAACCCCTATGGGGATTAGATTGATGCATAGTTTCGATCGAATTTGCAATTTCTATTCGTTTAGAACTAATTTTATTCTTGGAGCCGAGTCAGATTAGATACACCACAGGTGGTGGTTTTAGTGGTGAATGAGCATAGCCACAAACTCAAGGAATAATCGTCCAATGCTTAATATGTCTTCGATCTGACTGGTTGATGCAAACTAGTATCCAACTACTTATATCGGTTAAACAGTAGTACATTAGCAACATACAGTAATTTGTAAACATTATTATTGATGATGAGAAAACGCTAATAAACTCCAATTGGAATTTCTAGCCCCTTGATGATGTGTGATAATCTAGACTGACTCCTTTAAGAAAATGACAGCTTTATCTTCATTACTTCAACTACTTTTGCAGAATAGAAAATGAGAAAATATGCCTTTAATAAAGTTTCTTTGTTATATATGTTAATAAATATAAATTTTTTGAGGTGTGAATATAACAACGCTTGACACACAACTGACTTTTTAACCTTGTTATTCAGCAAGAAAAGGTATCAGCAAGGTGTTAAAGTATGTAGTTGAAGCTAGATAATGCTCATAGTCAATTGGTAATTTGTTGCACCAAACTAATTTTAGTGAAATGTTTCAGTCAGAATTGGAAACATACACTCATACATAGTTATTCAAATTGTGATGTGATGTACACAAATAAATATAATATTTATTTATATCACATGTATTTGGTTTGTGCATGGAATTGTTTATTAGTTTTATATATATATATATATATATATATATATATATATATATATATATAAAGCTTTGTGTGTACTTTTCCCTCAACATCCAACTCTTACGGGAATGAATCATGGGTTTCGTTGATACCTGCTGAGGTTTAACCTTATATTTCAGTAGGTTCAGCTCCATTAACAGTTGCCCTAAGTTGTTTGATTTATTTTATTATTTTTCCCTTTTTCGTTCCGCTGGGATATTGGTTCGAAGTTTCAGTAGCAGTGATGTTATTCTTTTCCATGAAGTGTGGTTGTTAGCCTCACGCTCAGGCTTTCCTCCTTACCAGACTTACACTGCCGGCCAGGTGAGGTTTAAGAGTGCGTAGGCTGAGGATCAAAGCTCGGACTATGTGTGTGGTTGGTGAGCATTCTATCGCCGAATGTATGTATATATAAACGTAGTGGATTTCAAGTTATTTATTCGTGTTTATGATTTCGCATTGGTTTATCTGACCGCATTGGTCAGCTTCACTTTGATATTATATGGATTTCTTTGATGGATGCCTTGATGTTATCCAGGATTAGGGGAGAACTCAAAGTCACTTGTTGGGTATGGTTAACAAGTAGAATCGATGAGAAGCGTTTTGTTCTCTTTGTGACACTTTTTAACTGAATGTACTTACTCCACCAGTGACTGTTAGTGTTTCAACTGAGACTTGGAAGCAGTATCCATCAATTCAGGCGCCACAGTGGTATTTACTGGTCCCAAATAGGTGGAAATGCACGTTCTGGATTTTGATGCCAGCCACCATCAAAAAAAGTTGTGGATTTCTCTTTTATTGTATTTAGTCGTAAGGACTGATGTTAAGTAGCAGGATGCTCACCAACTAACTACTCAAGTGGTCCGGGGTCCAGTTCTCGGCTGATGAAGCACTCCTAAACCTCGTTCGGTAGTTTGCTAACTTAGTAAACTAGGAAATAGTACAGTAAATATTACTGTATAACACTGTGAAACTTTACCAAAATAAATTTTATCCTCAATATAAGTATACTCTACCACAGTGCAGAAGTTCTATTCGTATATCAAGAAATGAGGAACGACTAGGCGTAAGGTTAGCAGTCCCACCACAGGTACTGAAACTCCAAAACTTAGAGCCTCCATGTTCCACTTGGAACGCAAAGCAACAAAAAAGTATCAAATGTGACATCAAGTTTGTGAAGAAAGAATTGTAGTTATGTTGAAATCTGGAAGTTCAAGTAATTTAAGTGTTATCAATCACATAAATGTTTTTCCTTCAATCATCACTTAGGATGAGAGATAGAAGAAGGGATTGGCAGTGTTCAACAGTACCGATTAGTAATCAGATATACTCTAATATGACCTTCAAATAGTAAATATAGAATAAAAATCCTTTTTTGAGTTTATTTACTCAACAGATTCATTATTGTTTCCTTTTACTTCTGTCTTTTTCTCTTAGATGGATTTCAAGAACGACAATTCATTAATTTGATTAGGGAGCTGAAAAATTTAACTCTATTAAAACAACATCCACATATAATTCACTGCTATGGAATGTGCATATATCAAGGTGGGTGATTAGTTTTTACTCTACTGACTCCTTCTCTGGCTAAAAGAAATGTTCAGTTACACCTGTGTGTGCGCGCATACCTTGTGTTTCTATTCTTGCCTTATGTACTTTTATCTATCTTTTTCTTTGGTTTCACCAGATTTACCGAATTAACAATTGACAGTTACATCTTTTGTAACCATGGTTACCATGTTGTAAAGTAACCTACCTGATATTCGATATATATATATATATATGTTTGCAATGGAAAAAACACACCAAGCATGCTTCTTAAAAATTATGAAATGTTAAAGAGTTTAATTATAAACTGTGACAGGAAACTCTACTTTACTATTAGCTGAAATTTCAATAGATTGTCAAGCCTTTTTGCCATGAGTAATTTTAAAAAAGATGTTTAACACAATTAAGGAAGGTGTAGGGTTATTGCAGCCGATTAGATGAAACGAAGACGCATAGACTTGTACACTTCAGCAACAGACGAGTTAAGAGACTAAATTGTGTCAAACTGAATTATATTTAGAAAAAGAAAACCAAAATACTGAAGACACACTGCATAGTCGTCCCAAGTAATAAAAATTACAAACTTTTAATTTTACACTTATCCGACTTCCTACCTCCAAAGAACGCGATGGGTAAAGAAAATCACTGGAGTGATGAATTCAGACAATTAATATGCGCCAGTTTAGTTTACATGAGAATGAGAAATAGTGTACAAAGTATAATATTAGTGTTTTACAGCATATTTCTAGGTGTAATAGAAGGCATTGCTACTTTTAGTTAGTATAAGTGAATTGTAGTTTCTTTAACTGTGTATTTGTGAGTGGCTTACGTCAATAATTATGTAAGATTTAGTTAGACAATCATTGAAAATGGAAGAATACTAATCCTTCATTTTTTCATGTTTTAGTGGTATATATAGGAACGATTGTCTGTGACTGTGAGATCTTGCGGCTACACTTGTGTGGTGTGAAGGCTGCCTTCAAAAGGATATGGTGTTTTATATAAACCCTCCAACTGTGTGTTCCTTCGAGTTACCTAGAATTTTATTATTTATTATTATTATTGCTCCCTTGGGCTTCAACTGCACGTCTCCATTTGCTTCTGCTGTACTTTTCACCTGCATCCATTTTAGTCCATACTCTTTCAACTCCTCTTCACACGATCTCCTCCATGTCACCCTAGGACGTCCCACACACCGCTTCCCTTTCGGGTTCCACTCGAGGGCTTGACGCGCGATGTCGCCCAGCGGCCTCCTCAGCGAGTGTCCGATCCATCTCCACTTCCTCCTGCATATTTGTTGGGCAATTGGTTCTTGTTTTGTTTCTTCCCATAGTTTCTTGTTGGTGATTCTTTCCGGCCCAGCCGTCTGATCTTCAGTATAGAGCCAGCGAAGACAGTTGTTGGTTGATAAAGTTCTGCAACAGGCTGTTGGAAATATTCTTTGTGACCCGCCCGCCTGCCAAGTTTCTGATCCGTATAGAACAACTGACTGACTTGACGTTGTTTGTATTGAAGATCCGAGCAAATTTTGTTGTTGATGCCGAGTGACGAAGATTTCCAGATTGGTTTCACGTTGATGAATGTGTTTCTCGCCTTCCTGATTCTCACGCGATTTGACATCCTCGTCCGTTCCGACTGCCTGTGGTTGAGACAATGCTCCCTCCCAGATAAGTGAGTGAATGAAGTAACCTCTTTTAAATCCCTCCCGTTGATGGTGATTGGCGCTAGATGTTGCTGCTGTTGTTGTTGCTTGGTTATTTTGATAACCTCCGTCTTGTCTATGTTCACCTGTAGTCCTGTCTTCGCCGGCTGCTTCTTCGACTAGTTTTTCGGTTTTCGCTTGTAAGTCTTCGATTTTGTGTGCGTGACATCAAACATAAATCATCCGCGAAATCCAGGTCTTCTAGGTTCTTCACCTCGGTCCAGGATATCACTGTCTGACACATAATCCAGTTCACCACAATTAGGAATATCATTGGTGATAATAAGCACCCTTGTTCTGACTCCTGTGTTTATTCCAAACGCCTCGCTGAGTTTTCCGTTGTGGATCACTTGACATGTCCCGTTGTCGTACAGCTGTTGAATAAGGTTGATGAATATTTGGGGTACGCCGAAGTACTCGAGTAGTTTCCAGATTACTTCGCGGTCAACGCTGTCGAAGGCCTTCGCAAAGTCTATGAAGTTGAGGTAGAGGTTTGATTGCCATTCCATGCTTTGTTCTGTGATGATGATGCGTAGAGTAGTAATTTGGTCAGTACATGATTTGCCTTTCCTGAATCCAGCTTGTTCTGGTCGGAGTTCTGTCTCCAGTGCGTCCTTCAATCTCTCCAGGATGATGTGACTCAGGATTTTACTAGGCGTCGATAGGAGCATGATTCCTCGCCAGTTCTTGCCGAGTGAGGCCTAAGTCGGCCTTCTTTGGTAGTTTCACAAGGTAACCTTTCCTCCAGTCAGTAGGCACCTTTCCCTCCTTCCAGACCATTTGCAATAATGGAGTGAGTCAGCATGTCTGCTGTTGTCTCTGGGTCCGCTTTTAGTGCTTCAGGGGGTATTCCATCTGGTCCGGCTGCTTTTCCAGCTTTCAGAAGCTTGATTGCATTCAAGACTTCAACTTTCGTTCGAGGATTAGTGTCGAGTTGCAGGTGTGTGCGCGCTGTTGTTGGTATTTCTGGACGGGTTGCAGGTGATGGTCGTTTCAAGAGTCCTTTGAAGTGATCCGCCCATTGTTTAATCTGTTTTTCTTCGTTGGTAATTGGGTTCTCTTGGCTGTCTTTTATAGGTTTCGCTTATGTTGATCTCTTCCCGGATAGAGATTTGGTTATCTGATATAGTGTCCTCAGGTCCTTTTTGCCTGCTGTCTTTTCAGTTTCAGTGGCCAGGTTGTCGTAGAATCGTCTTTTGTCCTTCCTAGCACTCTTCTTCACTTCTTTGTCCAGTGCTTTGTAAGTTGAGCTCATCGTCTCCTTCTCCTGTCCGTCCTTGCATTGAATCATTTTCTCTTTCACCATTCTCCTCTCTTCTATTAATTTCCAAGTGTCCGTTGAGAGCCATTCCTTGTCTTGTCTCTTCTTTCTTCCTAGAACCGTTGAACACGTTACGTTGAGAATCAGAGACTTCCAATGTTCTTCCACGCATGGTTCTTCGGTGATGTTGCAAAGATACAAACGCAATACGAAAGTCATATACATGAACTCAAACTATAGTTATGTTGTGATGAGTAGTTTAGACAAATATTTATAGATATCGCTGTCTTGTTTAACATTGTCGGAGTTGTTTTTGATAATAGTTTTTTAATGGATCGAATTCTTTTAAATTAAAAGTCGCGCTATATATTATAAAAAGGAAAACTTGAGTTTCTATTAGTTCTACAAATTTATGAATAAGTTTAATTTGTGGATGGTGACTAGCAGTGGAATCCAGGATGCGCGTTTCGTCCTACTTGGTACTCGCCGTCTGGATGTACCTGGATTTCCCAGTGAGTGATGATCATTCCACCGAAACTTGAACCCAGTGCCATAGTTTCAAACACCAAAGCGTTATCCACTGAACCACGTGGGCCACGAGAGCTGGCCACCTCTTGTGCAACGGGTCATATTGATTTAATTGAATTTTAGATTTTCCTGTCGATTGATTAGACCGAAGTTCCCACTTATTATATAATCAGGTAGGTTAGGTGGCTGATAATTAATACATGAATATATAATTTTTTTCCTTTTTCAGTCAATACTTTTGTATTGACCTGTTTGTCACTAAAATGCGAAGAGGTCCTCACAATATCCTCACAACTATGTGAAATAATAATAATAATCTAAATAAATTGACTATTAGGACTCATTTTTGTTTTCTCTTTCGTTTTTTATTTGTTAACTGGGGTTGTTGTTGTTTTTTATGGTGGTGGTGGTTACACAATATAAAGAAAATTCATTGTCTAATTTCACTGTCCCCCTCTACTACTCACTCCTCCTTCAATGATCAATGTGCGCTCAAATTAGGAGTTTTGTTTGAAAAAACAAAGCGTCTCAATTATAGGTCTGTATATTTTCCCCAGTTCATTCTGAATATTATATTTCATGTGTTGTTAACCGTAAATGGTAACAGTTCATGCACAACGTTGTTCTACCCTTTTCTTCAACATAACGTATATACATATATATGTATAAATAAGGGTAATCAATAAAATTACCTTGTTTTATACACAAGGGTAAGCTTTATAAATACTATTTAATCTCTTTGGATAAAAATCGGTTTGAAATGAAATCATAAAAATGTCATGTACATTACGTGATATAAAAACTAATTACTCTTCGAATACTAGTGTAAGCTTTTATTTCGTAGAAGTAATTCTTGTTTCTATCCATTGTGTGTGTGAGTGTGTGTGTGTGTGTGTGTAGCTGTCAATCTTAGTAACAACAACAATAAAATGAGTAATGCTAATGATAATAATGTTTTTTCGCTTCAAGTATTTATTATACATATATCTCAGCGACTGCTTTTTAATTAATTGATTCGATAAAGCAAACTACTACTGGTTTCCTCTTTTGTTTATATCATTCTGTTGAATGATGTAATGCTCAATTATTTTTTCTCCTGTTTTTTCCTTTTCCACTATGCGTTTTAAACTCACTTTATGTGTGTTGCATAAGTTTTGTAACGGGTATTTTTCTAAAAAACATTTTTCTTATACCTAATAAGCCCTTAATTATCAAGTGAGTTACCTATTTTAACGCGATAAACAAAAAGTTATTTTCAAGTATTGGTTTCTAGGGATATTTGATTGATTAATTACAGGATTTCATCATGTGCTGACATCGATTAGAGAACCATTGGAAAGCCTGCAGGGAGTACTGGGCATCTGTTTCATCCTACTTTGTGACTAGTCATCAGTACACTCCTACACTGTGGGTTTCGAACCCAGGATCTCCTGGTTACAAGGCGAAATCGTAGACCATTAAGCCACTGGGATTCTATCCAATGATCAGTTCATGAATTCCAGTTTCAGG